ATCCGGCTGAGCCAACCCAATACAGGATATTACAACACAAGCTATCAGGCTTATCAAATTTAAACAATTTAAACACAGGCAAAATCAACAAAATCAATTCAGTGGGATATACAAATATTAACAAGCATTTTTATACAGTGCCAAAACAGTGTACTGTCTGACTTATATTTCAAACAGAAGTTGTTCTTCTATGGAATCAGTAATTTCCCCACTCAAGAGCTTTCATGAATTCCTCTTCAGTAAAAGAAAGCATCTTAGCAGCTTCAATGTGCATCTAAAAAAAAATCAGGAGCATGAAGTAAAGTAACAAAATTCTGTGTAACTGGGAGAGATGAAAGAGGCTTCAAATCTATCCTGTTTTTTTTATGCTGTGGTTTTGACTGATTGGATACTCACCTGTTTAAGCTAAAGCTGCTATTTATATTTTTCTGCAAAAATCTGTAACGTAGGGTTAATGAGGTAAGTTTTATGCTAAAACTGGCAACTTTAGATCTAGTAAAACAGGACCAATAGCTTCTCTTAGTTCCTTTTATTTCTTTAAAAATACCTCAGTTTTAAGGAGGCATGGAAATTACTGAAAATCTGACAACTCTTGTGACCTGATGAACACCTCTGAGAAAACTGGAATACATCCTTTCCAGCTGATCAGTATACAGCTTACCTTTAAAGCGATTACAGATCAAACACATCAGTAAGATTCAGTGTGCTAGTGCTTCTAATACACATGATTTAATGTAAAATGAGAATTTTAACAAAATAGTGTATTAACAAAGTAATAGAACACCTTTAAAAAGCAACATAAACCAAAGAGTAACTGCATTACTCCTTAACAAGAAATACCAGGCGCTGACCACCGGTAGCTGTGCTGCCATGTATCACAGGCAACTGTGGTCCCTCCCAGGGGCCATACGTACATTTGTGTGCGTTTAAAAATCACACAGTAGCCTAAGCTTGGACTTGTGCTGCCCAGGACACAGCACATTTCTTTAAAAGGAACACTGAAAGGAACAAACGGAACTTTTTAACTTAGAAGGTGGCTATTTTCTGTTCAAAGAATGCAATTGCTTGGAACAAATGTCATCGAGATCATCAGCGTTTGATGAGGGAACGAGTACTAATCGGTCAGCAGGCTTGCACAGAGCTGCCACTCAAAAAGGCACAGCACCCGGAAATCCCTGAAAGCTCCCTGGTTCCAGCTGTGTCACAGCTGGCTGCATGTCCTCACCACCACACCCGAGTACAACCTTTTCACCGATCATCATTCCAAGTGGGAAGTATCCCAGCTAAATTGCTTTTAGTGCAAATTCTGATAAAATGGTTATGTTTTGAAGAGCAGGAAACAATTCATGTCTGCAAAGAGTCTGTTGTAGGGGTTTTTTTAATATATAGGCATCTTCTCAGTCCAAACCAACAAGAAACTGTATTGCAGTTCCCCCAGGCAGTGTAACATCCTCCAGCGCTGTAAAGCTCAAACTAATTTCCCTTAATTTCTTTTGAAACTAAGTTCTTCTATTAAATTCTCTCTCTCAAGCAGTGAAAGGTCTGAAAAGATCAACTGGAACACCAGCAACTACTTGCTGCCAGCTGCAACTCATCTTACTACTGACTTCTAATACCTTTGGGGGGATTTTTTCCCCTCTCATTCTTCACATGGTAGCATCTCCTGACTTCAGGCTAGCTGCACTTGCTACGGGCATCTGAATCTGCCACTGAACACTACAAAATCAGCCCAGATCAGGTTTTCCTCATTCATTTGGCAAAAGGCTCGTGTGAAGCAGACTTCATGTTCTTCAGGTGGTTACGTATGTTGAGCTTCAGCTGCCCTTCCCCTGTGCCTCTGGCCACAAGCAATAAAGGGCAGAGTTCACGCTGCTCTTCACGTTCTGCTAGTCACGGTCTGTTCTGATAGGACAACTAAGAGCAGCCTTCTTTTGGGAGTAAGTAACATTTTTTTTCTAAGCCAAGTGGCTTCCTCTACTATCTGCAGCTCTGTTACAGTATTCATAATGGTTTAAAAAGTATTTAATGAAATTTTGTGAAGTTTATCTGAGACTATGGTTTTGGTTCACAGTCAAGCAGAAATACTGTTCTTTGACACCCATTTCAGTGAATCCATGTTCCAGAGGACAAGGAGCTACCTCATTTATAGAGTCTTATTTTTTGTGAATGCTGTTTTGTTTTACTTTCTCAAACCTGAAGAGTCAAAAGGGACAGCCAAAGGCTAAGCTAGCACTAATTCTATTAGATGGTCCCCCAGGATCTCCTCTGCATCCTGTTACTGCCTGAAAAAATCTCTTCCATTGGAAATGTACGAGCAGCCCCAGTTCCTCCTGCTCCAGTTACCTATCATCCTCCTTTGCCCTGTGTTGGAGACGTACTCTAAATTCAAGGGTGTGCTTCCATGCTGCAGTTCCCAGTTCTTAGGGTAAGTATGTGTATTTTGTTACATCAAGTTCCTACTTCACACAAAACTATTGTTCCTCTGTGGGCGCTCAACAGCTTCAAGAGTGTTTACAAAATGTCTGGTGATCACTGCAGCACTCAAAGGATAAATAAAATGCTCCATTTTCTTATCTCCTAATGTGCTAACGTGCTTCTGCTCAACAAGTCACCACATACTGCTTGCTTCAGCTCTCTTACAGCTTTGGTTTGAGAGTGCGAAAAGCAGCACAGCAACGCCATCCGGAACCAAATGACACCCGCTCCCCAATGTTAAGATCCTGTCTGGGCAGTTGTGAAGCTGTAGCTCCCCATGTGTCTCGTGCAGCTTCCGAAGGAAATCTGACACAAATGACAGCATGAGATCCCAGGCGCTTGGTAAGTGAAACATAAGATGATAAATCACCTGATCTGGGCAATGCCTTTCAGCATACCCTCCTTGCTTTACTTGCCTTTCATGTAAACTCACAGGTTTTTGGGATATCAGCATAGCTTTATCAAATATGATAGTTAAAACATTTTAGCTATATTCTATCTGTAGTATTAACCTACTTTTTGCTACACCACCTTTCTGTAATGCTAACTGTTCAGCATGAATTGTCGACAAGTCTGCTCGATATCCAGTAGCCCCTGCCCTCCCGTTTATGCCCTGAGGGAGATAGGAAACAACACAGAATCAAAGGACTTTCGAAACAAGGCTAGCTGCAAGTGCAGGGTGGATGGGAACTGCATTCCTACATGGTGTGGTACTTGAAGTATGCATGATATTCCAGGAATTACAAAAGGACAGAGATTCTTTCAGTGTAGTAAATTCACACATGGAGTAAGTATTCTGTTGTGTTTTTTTTCTTTTAACCCTGACACACAAGGAGATCTGCACCTGAGCAGAATTATATACATACAGAACACCTGGATAGAGAAGGACACACTTTGGGAACCCTTTGTGAATCTTTGTTACAGCTGCTGATACAAGTAATAACATGCTGGGAGGGGCAAACAAAAAAATTAAAAATCTCACACGTTAAAATGGACTGAACTGACACAGCACTGAAGGGAGTTGCTGTTATTACCTCAACAGTATTCGTTCTTGAACAAATAGATACTCTCTGCCCTAAAGCTTGTCCATGCTAATCTTTCACCATGACAAGGTATCTTCCAAGTTAGGAATAGGTTCCATTCAGACAAAGACCAGCCTTTGCTATAAAGCAAAATACCAGCAATATGCTCTAATAAAAGTGAGGCTGCTCCTTCCGTGCACTGAAACTTCACAGCAGACACATTCAGCCGGAGGTTGTTAACTGACAGGTAACAGTGCTCTGGTCCTTACCTTTTGTCTCTTTAAAATATCAATTAACTTCAGCTGCTTTTTAAAACCAGTCATTAGCTCTTCTTTTTGTTTCTGCAGTCTCTTGTTTTCTGTTTTTAATTCTTCAATTGTTTTGAGTTCTTGGTTAGTGACATCCTACCATGGGAAGAGAAGGAGAAATCTATTATTTATAAAAGCCATGCTTTAACCAATGAAACTTGGCATTCCGTAACAAAATGACAAAGAGTAGCCACGTGTGACATTTCTGAAATGAAATGGGATTAAACAAAATATTCCCTCATCAAAACTTAAAAAAAGGAAAACCTCAGAGATACCAGCTATGGTTTGCCTGTGTATGTACTAGGTGTGTACGTGTACTTCTCCCTTTGTCTAAACTCACCTAATTTTCACACCAACAGAGAAAAATCATTCTGTACATTTCTTTCTCCTGCACAGGTTGCATTAGTGCCATCCCAGATAACTTATGGAGCCCGTTGGCGACTTGCTCCAAGTGACTTTTGGGGCTGTTTGTGAGAGATACAATGCTTCTAAAGCTGATCAAGCCTTTTGTCTCATTCTAGCATTACAGACTGATTACACACTGGAACGTGTTTTCCCAAGTTACTGTACCTTGTTACTTTGCTTCAGTTTATTTAGCTCCGCTTTATAACTTTCTGCTTCTTCCAGGGCCCTGTTTAAGCGAACCTCTGTCGCTCTCTGACTGGCTGCAGCCTGCTTGTGTGCACGCTTTAGATTCTCCAATTCCTATTTAGTAGAGGATGAAAACAAAGATTATGAACAGTGGTATTTTAATGACGCCCATACAGACAACACATTTACAGTAAGGCTCTCCTTTGAAAACTGAAGAGTCTATGGACTACCCTGACCTGTAGATAGAATCTATATTAAATAAAATTAGTTCCACTGTTAAAATGTCCCCTTTTCCTCTGAAATCTTGAAAAGGGATCTTTCTAATTTTTGTTTTAAAATTCTCTTAGAATAATTGTGGAGCTGATCCTGTAAGACAACAGGATTGACTGCAAAACCTTGTATGCTCAGTCAAAAAAAGAGAAAATGTTGATATGTCCACTCTGTGGCAGATTTTGAAATGGTTGCTGCTTCTTCCCACCTGTTCCTTTTACTTTTTTCTCCCCAGAGATCACTACATACAGTTACCAAAAAAAAGTCAGAACAGCCTACTGAAGATGGCTGGGGTAGTAACTATTTCATCCAGCAGAAAATAGTTCATCAAATGTTCATGGCAACAACACGAACAGTTCCCTCTTGGCTGTGATGACAGTGTTTCATAGTAGTGTAAGGTGGGGAAAGCAGAAGAGACCAAATTGAGAAACAGAATAATGAAATTAAAGATCAGGAATATAGATAAAAGACAAAGCAGAAGAAATAAACAATTCTAATAAAGAGAGCACACCTTGGTGACTCTCTCAGAGTAGAGAGAGGGAGATTGTCAATCTTTCACCCTCAGATTGCCTTATTTCTCAGTAATTGTTCTATTCTCTCAGTTCTACACCGGCTCTTGTGATGGTTACTTATTACTTATCCAAGAAATATATACTAATTGGCAAATGTTTGCAGCAATGATGTTACAGTAAACACAGGACTGGAACAGGTAGTTCTAGGAAGCTTTCAGTCTTCTCCAAAATGAATAAAGAGAACAGGAGAGTAAGATGCATCTCACTAATCTTCCAAACTTCTGTTGGTAAATGTGCCTCCTGCAAGATTTCACAAAACCAGATGTTGCTTCAGCGTTCCTATTTTGTCGCTAACCTGTCCTCCTCATTGGTTTTAAGAGGCAAAAGCCTGGCGCGCAGGGTCACAGACACACGCACATCACCAGGGAACGCAAAGTCGTCTGCTGGGAGCTCACCCCCATGTTTCCAAAGAAAACAAGCAGCACAGCATGCAAACCTCTTTGTCTTGTGTCAAGATGATGGAGCTGTGAATAGAGTCACTAAATCTTTTATGATATGTATTTTATTCTGCATGAATATGAAAAGCTTTGGAATACAGCCTTCCAAGTGTTTAATGACCCAAAAAATAGTCTGCATGCAATGCAAATTATGGATCAGCTAATCATATCATCTAATGAAAGAATTCTAAAAATTCTTTTAATGCTTTTTGACAGTTACTGTCATACATAATACCTTATCAAGGATGTTTTTGGAAGTCATCCAGTGAGGGTATATTGTTAAATATATTTGACTCCAAGTTTTTCAGCTTCAAAATGCCTGAAATAAGTATTTTATTTTGTAAGTAGGCAAGGCTTCTGCCAATTCCTCAATACTTTAAGTAAAACCTGGATTACTTTTCTCATATAATGTTTCTTTAAGGGGGGAAAAGGTACTGTGTTCTAAAACTGCATCCCGTTTCCATCTGGATTGTCTCCACTGTTCTGGCATGGCTGAGGCACTTGAACATCAACAGGGGGTGTGATACCAGAGCGCTCCTCCACGAGAGTAACCCTGCCGGCAGCCTGCGCTCCTCCCAGAAGCAAGTGCACGCAGCACTTCTATCTTTGGAAAGCTCAGCAACACCAGTCCAGCCCCAAAACCACTGGAGAGATAATGTCTGCATGACATCAAATTAGATTGAACTACTAAGTGAAAGAGAACACAGAGGAAGGAGTGTTCCTGTAGAGAGGTAGTGAAAAAAGACAGGAGAGGTGGTATCATTTATTAGATCAACTGCATGGAAAATAGAAGAAGGGTGGAAAGAAGAGGATGGAAGTTTTGGGGAGCATCAGAATTCAGCTGCTACCTGAGGTGAGTGTTCCAGCAGAAACATTCACAGAGACCAAACACCAAAAGAAATAAATGTAAAAATAAAAGAACTGATTGACACATTTCAGGTAAACTGTGAAAACTAGGTGAGAATCTTTGCTGAGGCACATACAAAAAAAAGTATGGAGCGGGGGGGAGTGGTTAATGAAATGGCATAAATTGTTGACAATCTAAGGAAGCTTGGGAAAGCATCTATCACAGCTTACCTATTCTATCATTTATGTTGCAACAGAAATCACAACAAAAGTGGTAAAAGCCCAGAAACCAGAGATTACATTTGTGCTACTGCAACTATACAGAAGACTTTCTCTAGACTGAAAGTAGAGTCCTGAGAGATTAGTAGCACAGCAGTACAAATTCAGGCCCGTGTTTCCCACAGGAAATTGTTTTTAAGCACATCTAGAAGTAATCTACAACTACATTTATTATATAGTGTTGTATAATACTTCATACTTAAAGAAGAAAACATTTTTCAGACTGCTAAATCCATAGGAGCTTTAAGCAGTCATTGCAAAATTATTTTTAAATGCATATTTTTGGCAGTTGCAAATTTTTTTTGTATCAGAAACAATATGCAAAATAACTTCTGAATTAGCAGAGAACCATCCATTACATCTACTTGCCTTTTTTCCCTTTTTAGCATTTTAAAGAACAACTGTTGGTCATGGTTGCGTCTGATCAGTAATCTTAGGCAGTCCTGGAAAACACAACCTATTGGGAATAACTAAGCAGCTGAGGATGGTAAATCCAGAGCACAGACAAGCAAGGAAAGTGACCCTATTTTGGATGTGGCAGCTGTACAGCAGAAGTGAATAAACTCTGCGTCACATTAGACCTCTCCTAAATAATGGGATGAACTTTCCGGCTGCATACAAGAACCACCATAGTCTACGGAAATGATGGAAATTGCCACCACAGAAGGCTTTAAGCACAGGTTAAACCAACTTATGTCCCAGATGGTTTGGATATAATCTGTCCTGTCTTGGTTTAAGAGAACGGGCTAAACAACTTTGTAAATCTCTTAGCCCTATTTACTGTGAGCCCATCCGCAGTATGAGTACTACTATTGAATATTTTTCCCAACAGAATCAACAGTCAGGATACTTATTTAAGGGAACTTAAAACCTCCAAGTATCTGCACAGAAAGAACGCCCCAACTCAGAACATTCTAGTTTTCAAATGCCAGAACTGCATAACGTTAAGATGGAAGCATGCCTGTACTACCGCACAGTGTGATTTAATGGAACTACAGTGAGACTTTGTTTCCCCCCAATTTTTAACTCACTCTTCTGGCTGTATTACATGTACGACACAACGCTATATGTATGATGTGATTTTGAAGCCAACCTCTCTAGCTCTGAGTAATTAAAAAAAACCACATGCTGCTTTTAGATTAAGTTCCAAACAAGCAAAGCTGCGCATGCAGGCCATCTGCTACAACTAGGCACGTATACAATTTTGCATATGTGGCCTAACGCAGCAGCCAGGTTAATTTTGATTCATCCCAATTGGAGCGGCTGGTTTACAAACTGGCCATTTTCAAGAACAAAGACGCATCCTTTCCTCTATCCGCTGAAGATACTAATATAAGCTGCAGGTGTTTTTTTCCACATATTCTTCAGTTCTACAGTTTACAATAAAATGCTTATTTCCAGAAGTAATTTTTAACAATCATAATTAAAACCAGAAGAATAAAATTTCCCTGCATATTTTCAAGATTCTCTTGCAGGTCTTTTACACATGAATTTAATATATGATTGCAGAAGCAGAAGAAAAGCAATTAGCAAAATATATTATTTCTTCCTTTAAAGAAGTGATTAGATCATGTAAAAATACAATTTCTAAAACTATTATAAGAGTTTGAAATACTAATGGGATCACTGGATATGAATCTATTAAACTAGGATACAGAGGGTGATTTGATGAGGGTTTTTTTTTCCCCTTTTATGAGCTAAATGAGACTAATATCTGCAATACCTTTTCTAGCGCAACGACTTCTTGTTGTAACCCTTCACTTTTTTTGTTTGCTTCTTGAGACAACACTTTGTACTTTTCAGTCTGAGATTGTTGCATACTGACTGTTCGTTGCAGTCTGGTGTTTTCTTCTTCAGTATCTTTAAGCTGAGATCTTAAATTCTGATTTTCCTCATCCTGTTTGACAGCAATTAGATAAATTATTGCAAGAAAGCAGTAGGATAATGCGATAGTAATGTTTTGTGAAAAAAGGCAGTAAAAATAGACATATTGTAGATATGGAGACAGTTGTTTTTAAAAATTATGTTATTTACAATGTTCAGATCCTTCACAATGGATTTCACAATTCTAAGAAAGGAAACAACTAAGACAAAATAAGAAAATAAAAGTCAATTTTACCAGGACAATACTTCAAGAAACAATAACGCTTTTCTCATTTAATTTTCTGTAGTCTTTTAGTGGGAACTGTCTTCCAGCGGTATGTGAAACATTTAACTTCTCACAGTTCAAAGGTATTGAGAATTAACTATCAAGATGTTAGAGAATAATATGAGTAACAGTGCACACAGATATTTTGTGACCTTTCTGTGAGAATAGCTAAATGCATGCATTAGGAAAAATTCTGGGAAAAAGAAGGTAATATAATTACTGATAAATCAGTCCATTATGTTTTAGGACATTATCTGCTTTTGACTTAAAAGCAAGCTAATGATCCAGGATACATCGAGTATTCAAGTACAAGATTCTCTTAATGTCAAGCCAATCCTGTATTGGATTCACGACCTCCTAGCAATTACAGTTCACATTAAGCATTATGATTTTAAGGTATTTTTCTTTTAAAACCTTTTAAACGTTGTAAGTGTATATTAATGTAGGCTATTGCAAAGATACATTATGGCTTTCATTTCTTTAAGAAAAAGAAATCAAGGCACATACAGAATTGGAGTATCTGTGAGAAAAAGTTTTTCTCGCCTGTCCTCTCAGCCCCTAGGAATACACACCTCCCACCTGGGAAATGTATGTGCTTTACCCTAATTGCCATGTGACCACACGCACCTCAGACTCTTTATATTTAAAATAGATCTACTGTTTCCTTATAATAACTGGACTGTGAATTGGGACAAAATCCAGAATCTATCTCAAGGCTTTGCTGATAGGAAATTTCCGTGACCTTCTGAATGTCATGAAGTTATTTTCACACCAGAGAAACTAGTACCGAAAACGTAACATTTACATAGAGAGTTCTATGGGAGCAGGACAAGAACAGGCACAAGGTTGTCTTCTGTCATCTGCTATAGTAACTGAATTCTGTAGTATTTTTGGCATGGAATGACAAAATTCTATTTGATTTGAAAATGAAAATGTCTTTAAAATCTAATGTAACGACTTTCTTCTGATCACAGCATAAAAGTACTGACTTGCAGAAGCAGCTGTATTGATAAAAATGGAAAAAAGGACAGATATAAAATATCAACATCTAATTCCTTCTTAAGATTTTATCTTTTTTAATTATTCTGCTCCCTAACTCTAAATAAAAAGCTTGAGCAAAAACATGCAGGTGGTTTGCGTTATGTTCTGAATGTCATCATTACATTTGGGCCTGGGAAATAGATGGGAAAAAGCATTCTGAAGTTAAAAGACAATGACTAATAATAATCTAATTGTGAAGAATGGAAAGTTAGTTCAAAAACTTTGATTACAAACCTCCTGTTTCTACAGATAAGAAAGCTCAGCTCTTACCTTTTTCCCGCACTCACACACCACACTATCCAGCTCTTCCTGCGTAACATGTAACTTCGCCTTAAGAAATCTGATTTGAGCTTCTGTGAACATAGTAAGTTGCATTTAATATCCACAAGTACTCATTATTCAATGCAGAAAAAAGCAAGACTGATGTAAAACTCACATTCAACTTATTAAAAACACACTACATTGTTTGTAATTGTTATAGAGAAATAGGCAAATAAAACCTGACAGATTTCTAAATAAATGTTGCAAGTTTCTCATTCCTAGGTAAAGCTTTGTATAGGTTTTTCCTTTCAATGACTGAACTCAACATCTTTAAAATGTAAAAATGCATAATTCTCAGAAATTAAATTTAAAGGAAACTTTCATCATAGTATACAACATGTTACAGCATTCCTTGAGATTGAAGTCAAGAAAAGTATATTGTAGGGTATGTCCATGTTGCAGTCATCTGTAGCTGCAAGTTGTGTAGTTACACCCAAAGTACTTTTGAACTGCTCACAACAAAGAATTAAATGTAGACTGCAAAATCCTCTTAATACATAAAGCTATGGTAGTCTATGCTTTTTTAAAGTACACTGCCAACATTATTCAATTAATAGTTTAAAATTAATCAATTTAATCAGATGGGGGTTTTTTCCCAAATGAAGTATTTTCTTGCTCTTGGCCAGCTAAGAAATGTACTGTTGTCATGACCGAACAAGCTGTGTGTGAACAGCGTGTTCTTTTACTCCTTGTTCCCCACCCTTTCCCCAGATCATTCATAAGGAACTCCCTCTGAAATTCCACAGGCACAAAGCATGGAAACAGTACGAGGATCAAGTTGAGCAACATGGGAACAACCATTATTCACAGTAAGTACCAGAGGAAAAGAACAAACTGGAGGAGGAGTATCTGGAGCTGAACGTGAGGGGATGGATGGGCGCATGTGTTCATTTGCTGCAACAGGAATTCCTTCTATTTTCACCCCCTTTCCTTATCAACTGTCAATTGCAGCTTAAGTTGTAATTCTGTAGAAGCCAATGAGTAGGATTCAGGAAAAATACAAAAAAATAAGATACAGACTGACTTTTTTTCTCCTGTTATATCCTTATTAGTTTCTGGTAACTAGTGGGTATCCTGCAATGGAAAATATATTGAAGCCATCAAGTTTAATACTCTTCAATGGACTTCTATACTATCAAGCTGTTTGATTTTCTTCCTAAAACATACTGTCATTTTGCATTGACGATATCCCATGGCAATGAGTTGGCTAACTTAATTACGCATTTTGTGAAAGAAATAACACTTGGTACAGCCTGCTTTAAATCCAATTTAATGTGGCATTTCCTAGTGTTTGCATTACAGAAAGACAGCTTTTCCTTTACCATTACTGTTTTCATTACAGAATATTTTACATTGCCCTCAATTGTTTCACATTGCCCTTAATTGTTTTGTTTTCAAATTGAAGATTCAAATTCAAGTTGTTCCACGCTTCTGATTGCTACTGTATACTCTTTCCTGTATCCTTCCCAGTTCTACATCGTGGTTTAGAGATGGGGTGTGCAGAACTGTCTGGCATACTCAGGATGGGACAGTATCAATTCTATAATAGCATAATGATAACAGTACAATATTTTGGATCTTAGGAATAAATTCTTTGGTACAAGGGTGGCAAGACACTGGATTATACTGCCCAGAGAAGTTGTGGCTGCCCCCTCCCTGGAGATGTTCAAGGCCAGGCTAAATGAGGCCTTGAGCAACCTGGTCTAGCTGAGAGGCGTCCCTGCCCATGGCAGGGGGGTTGGCTTAGATGATCCCTTCCAACCTAAGCCATTCTGAGATTCTACGATTTTTTTTCTGTTATCTTCTGAAGGATTTCTAACAATCAATTTGCCTTTTCCACTGTGAACAAGCAGTATATTTATGCTTTTGGAGATGTCTTAATTAGTAATAACTAAGTGAAGTCCAGCTCAGAGACAGCTATAGTTGGAGCTGCTTTTTCTATCAGCATTACTTTGCATTCTTTATTGCTGAATACAAACCTCCTTTCTATCACCTCACTCAGCACTATGACATTCTTCTACAATACTTCAGTATCAGCTGTAACTATCCTAAAATAATTGTTTCATGTACTTCTCTCTTTACCAGCTAGCATTCCTTCTTTCCACATTATTTTTGTCTATACTGAACAATGTAAGCTCTGTGAAAGATCACTCCGGGGGCTACACCACTACTACCGGTTGCTTCTTTTTAGCATTTTGTTTCCCCTTTTACCCAGTTATTAGTTGACAGATGATTTCTCTTACACAGCCCTGTGTCATTAACAGCACTTGGTAACAACCCTTGTTAAAAATCCAGGGGCAGAGCTAGAACCAGACCAGCCTTGGGAAGTGGCTGTGTCCCAAAATAACAGTAACTCTTCTTCTTGAATTTATCTGGTGCAAGGTACTAATGCAGTCCAAGGCAGCTTCTTTTTAGTTCGGGAACAAGAACTATAAGAGAGGAGGTCCTGGCTTGAGAGCACCAGGACAAAGTTCCGTGGGGCAGAGGGGGCAGCTGTGCCTGTGGGGAGGGGAGGATGGGTCAGGTGACCCACAAGGACCAATCACAGCGTTCCTGCCCACGGTGCTCAGTATAAAAGGGTCCTTGAGAGAAGCCCCTGGGCCTCCAGTGCTGCTGTGCTGAGGGGGTTGCTGCGGGCTGTCCCTCACCCCTCCCTGCACTGCTGGTGTTCCTGCCTCCTGTTGTCACACTGCAGAGGAGCAGCATTCGTCGGGACAGGTGGGGTGGGGCAGCATGGCTCCTTTTCTGGTTTTTTTGGACAGTCACCAGGACTCTGAGCTCAGGCGCTCCTGTCTGCTGCCGAGTCAAGTCTGGGACGTTTTTTTCCTGCTAAGGACCTTGTCATCTAGAAGATGTGGGTCCCATATTAACATATTTTGTTGTATCTTTGAGCTCCTATAGTATCTGTATATAGTTGTCACAGGTTAAGGTTTAATGTCTTTGTTGTCATTGTTAGTGTTAATCTCTTTTTTTCAAGTTTTTGTCAACCTCAAAGTCCCTCTTCCTGATTCTCCTGGTATCCTCCCTTGGGATGGTGGGGGGGGGGATCACAGAGAGCTTCTGTCAGAGTCTAGTGGCCTGCCCAGCCTTAAACTTTGACAGGAGGTACCTGAGGACCTGTTTTGGGAGACCTACTAACAGAGGGTGTGCACTGAATTACATGAAATAAGAAACCCAGTTACTTCTGTGTTGGCCTGGTGGTTGACATCGAACTGTTAGATGGAAAGAAGAGGGTCTGGACATTTCGTACTGCTGCAGTGAATCTCGGAGTGCTTGCTTGCGCTAGCATTGCAAGAAACTCACTATAACATAAGAGAGATGTGCGTCGTGCCTTTAGCTTCACCGCTAAATGCTACAATCCCCTTTCTTCCTCTGTTTCTAGAACAAATGTGAACACACCATTTGGGGTGTGAAAGTATCTGGAACGTTCTCATTCAAGCACTGTAGCCACAACACTACTTCACTTGAGCCACTTATTAAGGATCTGAGGAAGGGCTCTTTCCTCTAAAGGCAGAATCTGTGCAAAAGGCTGAAGCTTATCTTTTTGGAAGTACAAGCTTAACATCATGTATTTCTATTTCCCCAGCAAAATAAACAAATGTTATGCACATATTCAACATATGTAACCATCCATCTTCCTACAAAGGTGGAAATCAAGACAAAAGTACAATTTTTCCCATGATTATTAATGTGTGACCTGATCTTCCTCTAGGACTACATAAAGAAGGAAATCCTTCTTTTTCCTTTAAGGGCTTCAGAACTTTCCCTGTAACTTCTACAGAAACCTTTCAATTTTTCTCCAGGAGGACCCATTTCTACCAGTCAGGAAATAAGAATAAAAGGATTTAACCATGGGAGGAAACCTACCTGGTCCAATTTCATTTCCAGTGCTTGGAATAATATCATCAGCTAGGCAATCTGGTAAGCTTCCTTTCTCTGTTTTTTCTTCAGTTTTGCTCATTGTTTTTGCTAAAGAAAAATCTGTGCAGTCCTCCAGTACTGTAACATGATCAGCACGTTGTATTTCCAGGTTTCTTATTTTTGAACTAAAAAAACCAGACCCTAAATATTACATTTTTGTAAATTGTTTTTGGTATTATAAATTTATTTTACTTGCTATTTTTAGGAGTATATGTAGTTATTTACCCAATACAACTTCATTGCTCACATTCATATGAAAGATGCACTCGTGGCAATTTCTCATTTTCTTAATGTAAGATACTTCTACTGTATTCCACATAAACAGTTACAAGATGTAACATTTTATAATCTAGGAGGCAGAGAAACAGTATCATTTCCCACCCAGAAGTTTTTGGTATGGTCTACTCATCCAACAACTTCGTAACTAAATCCGAGTAAATTAAATAAAGAGAGCAATGTTCTCTTGGCTTTAGCTATTATCTTCTGCCTTAAATTCTGCTATTTTCCCCTCTGTGTGTTAACTCTTAGAACTGTGTCCTCTCTAGTTAGACCACAATTTCTGTATCGTTATGCCTAGCCTAGGAAACTTCATTGATCCTAAAAGTTGCACATCAAAGTTTTCATAAAGCCAAAACACTAGGTGTGTGACACATCTGCTATGTAGAGTATCTCCTTGGCTTTCTTTTATAAAGATATGACATTAGTTCCCACAGGATGCTAAGCTCCTAAATTCTTATTCTGATAAATCCTCATCCAGAGTTTCCAGCCTCCAGACTTGTAGCTGCTAGCTTTATCCCGCTCCTTTGGGTTTACCCTGCAGGTTCTGTATATGCACTACTCCACCTCTAAATCTCATGATGTGGGGCCAGCACAACAGCTTCCCCTGAACTGCTCAAGGGAGATCCGAGGGGTACACAAGTGACTTCCAAGTCCTGAAAGACAACCTTGGTTTGCATCAGTTCTGTGTTCTGCCACCCTGCAGACAGTTTTCGTCCTATTTGGATATTTGTCTATTTCTTGTGGCCGTTTTAATCTGCTCCCAGAATTTTATGTGTGTCACTACTCTTTTCTTTTGTCCCCATCACCATTTCTTGCTTTTACAACTCTGAGTTTGCTGTCTACAGAGCTGAAGCTTCTCAGCTTGAAAACCCCTGAAAGCTGTCATGCTATTACTGACTCTCTCTTGTTCTGTAAACCCCAGATTCACAAAAAGAGAGGAGACTCTCAAGGACCTTCCCTCACATGTCTGATCACAAATCAGTCTGCACCACCCAAGTGTGCTCTCCCAGGTTGCCTCAGAGGAGGTATGTCCCACACACATGCTCATTAGGCATCCTTCCACTGAGGAAGTTAAGAGTTTAGCTGTCAGCACGGAGCAGTGCTTTAATTTTGAGCATTGCTGTAGTATTAATCATGCATGTTCACTAATAACTTTTGGTGCTCTATGCAAGAGAACAGATAGTTACGTGGTGGAGCTGACTGAGGCAGACTTGAAGTTTTATACATCTGTGTAAGTGTAGAAGTATACATTAACAAAAATAACCTGATAAATAAAATCTAAGATATTTTATTATAAACAAAAAGAAATGTGTATAATACCTTGAAGTTGTTGTTCTGCCCTTGCTTCCAGAGTATGGTCTGTTCTGAGGTGTGGGCATGGAAGCACATTTCTTCTTGTTTGCCACCTACAAAATGTTTTTCAAATTTTTTTTAATTAGTTAGATTTTCTTTTTCTAGTGTTTTTGTTTTCTTTTTCATACGTTCAGACTCAAGGACACTTTTTGCAGTATATGCTTTTCAAACTTTCAAAAGCACAATTTTTCAGTTTTATCTGCACTCATCTTTATCTTGCAACTTTAATGTCCACATGCCCAAATTATAATACGTTCAACAGTCATTTGCTCGTGGGAGTTTTTGCACACGCACGCATAACAGATTAATGCATAAGAAAGGCTCTCAGCTATTATCAAGATATTAACTATTGGACGATGAACAGAGTCCATTTCTTTGAAAATGCTTATCATACCTTCCAAAACATGCTAATTTTATGCATTATTTTAATCGTATAAATTCCCTGCAGAAGGAAGATCTAAAAATATTTTTGTTACTTTCACCCAAATAAACACTCTTCAAAAACTAAGATTTTTTTTTTTTCCTGCTGTATTCTGATAAATAACTGAAGACAGTACCCTGGAAGCTTTAGCTCACCTCCTAAAAGATTGAGTGTAATTGTAATTAGAGACTCTTGAGTTTGTTCCTCATATCAACCTCTTTTTTCCATTATATTTCCTTTCCTGCGTTCAGCTATTTTGACTACTTGTTTATTACTACATCTAGAAGGCAGTAGTACTACCTTTAGTATTGGTGGGGACGGGGTGAAGAAAGGAAGAAATTAATTATGCTCTAATATTTTGCACTTGAAATTCTTAATTTAATGTTCAAAACACTGAGCACTTCTGTCAATGCTTTATGGAAGAAGAAACGCGTAACGCAAAAATAAAACATGATGCAAGACCACTTCACCACCAGTGGCCCTGAGAAACCCCAGTAACGCTGTTTCTGTAGCTCTGCTTTGAACATCCCTTCCTTTTCGATTTCCAGTCATGTAAGTGCTCAGTGTAGCACAGCCTCAAGAGCAGAAGTAGTACATGGAAATTATGCTAGAAGGAAAATTAATTGGGATAGTTTTGACTTGGATACCTTGGTATGTGAGTGTGTAAGAGATGAAACTTCAGGACTGAGTGGGTCTCTGCAGAAAAACAAACAAAAAACCCCACATGAACATACACAACAAAATGAACATTTTACAGTAAAAATTCACCCCCATCAGAATCAGGAGAATAACATTTTATATGTCTACAATAAACAACATAGCTAAGGTCAGCAATGTATATTAAGCTCATCATGAATTCAATCTCGTCCTCTACCTTTCCATTCTACCTCATTTGCTATCCACATCACCTGGTGAGTCTAGCGTACCTAATACAACAGTTTACTTGTGTACCACAATCCAAATCTCACCTCGTATAATTCAGGCAATTGCTGCAACTACTGCTTTATTAGGTCAATGATTCCTTGCACCAGCGAGCACTTAACCAGCATGCTGAGTGTTACCAGTTCAACGAGAGAGATTGACAATCCATTACCAAAGATTGCCACCAGCTCAGGGGTTAATATACCTACTTGACATAAAAATCCCTGGATTAATAAAAAAAAAGATATACACCAGTGTCCTCTGCATCCTAGGAGGAAGGGCAATTGTCTGCTCAGATTGTCCATTGTCAAGTCAGTTGACAGTGACTATCAAGTGAATGTGAGGCGGGAGCGATACATAAATTTAAATATCACAGAATTTTCTCTGAGATAGCTATTACAAATAGTGTATCCATTTTACAGAGTGAAAAACCAGGAATATAAAAGGAGCTTTCATATCTACTTGTTTGGCTGAAAAGCATGCTTCTTAGTAACTGACTGATCTTCAGGTTAAATGACTATTTTTAAAGTCTGCTGTAAACAAGCAGAAAGCTTTAGCATGCTGTGTACTATGCAGGTCAAGTTTCTTGCCACGTGTAACTTTTTCTGGATGCTACATGCATCTGTGTTACTGCACTGAAAGGCTACTTTTTTTGCTACCCTTTATCATTTTTTACTTCAATTAGAATGCTGATTTATAAAAGATGTGGAATAAAATTTAAATTTCAGGCACATTGTCACCTTAATTTTTTTGTCCACCTGATTTGAGTAAACGTTTAGATCTTGCCTTAAAAATTTTCACAGACATCCATTCATCAGCAAGAATTATCTGCAGAAAGCTCCATAATTCATTTTTTAAAAATGGAGAAATAATCTGTTCGTGGTTGGCAACAGACTTCAGGAATAGGATGATTAGGTTTTGTCTGTTTACCCTATTTTCCTCGTACTTGCTTCCTATTGGCTAGCTTTAGGGGCATGCAGAAGGTGAGGATTTGCTTCCACAGAAATAGCAGTTATATGTTACTCTGAAAAATATGACAATGCAACACCCTATATGGTCAAAAAAACAGTAATTTTTTTCCATCAATAGACTAATTTGTTCCTACTGTATTCGTTGTCTCGGGTACTCCTTTTCAAAACAAACAAACAAAGCAAAACAAACAAAAACCCCTCATCATTGACGAAATTCCTCCAACTTGTTTAATGCTAATGGTTTCTTTCCTGTTCCCCATACATGACAACCCATTTTTAAAACCTTGATACAGCTCTATAGGTGTTGGGTAAGTGAAATTAATGTGTAAATCCTGAAAGGCGTACAAATAAGCAGCCGGAGTATTAGGGCAACTCTGCAACAGAAGCTAACGTTTAACACTTCCACCTCTGCACGTAAACACGAGCTGCGTGTGCATGAGCAAACCCTTTGTGTCTGCTAATCCCATTCACAGCCTATAGCGCGCTTGCCCATGCGCGGGCGGCTCCCATGGCCATGAGGCTGGCAATGCTCGCAAGGCTCAAAGTATAAACAAAAGCTGATTTCAGTGCGGTGACACTGGAGCTGCTTTGTCTCTACGTAATTCAAGTTTCCCTGCAAAAATTGTGCTATAAAAACTCCAGAACAACTTATTTTCAAATATACACTGACTCTGAGAGTCACTTGAATATTTGCTTAGTCATTTTTTTTCTCTTAATCTCTTTTTTTTCCCACTGATCCTACCTCTTTCTTTGCTTCAATTTCTCTCCTTCTTTACAACTGCTTTAGTGCTTATCCTCCTTAAAGGAATCAATGGAAATTTCAAATTGATATTGCAGAAATATCACAAGTACTTCTTTTAGATTTATAGCCTATCTGCTTGCACAATTTTGAAAGAAAAAAAATTAATTAAATATTAAATACTAGGAACTAATCTAATTGAATGGCCTCAATGTTCACTCATGGATAATCAGTGTGCCTAATTCCTAGCACACATTTCTATTTTTTTTTTTGCTATAGTATGAGATTTCAATTCTTCTCTCACATAAATGTTTACCAGAACATAGACTCTGGTTGATTGAAGGTGTTTTAATTTATGTAGTTAACTGGTAGATCAGCTGCTACTGTGACATGTTAAATGCCAGTATTTTTTTTAGTTCTTCCAGCACTCCCATTTCTTTCAAATGTACAGTCTCAAAACTGTTAACTCCTTTTGTGAGGCTGAATCCTCTGATCATATTACATCATAAAACAACCCTGTAACTCCAGTTTTAAATTCTTTAAAATCATCTGTCTGCTGTTCAAAATCCATCTAACAACACAAAACTAAAGCAAGATCCAGAATTTGTTTGCAAAGCATGACCATGCTGATAACACAAGGAGGTTTCTTTTTTCCTTTACAGCTGACAGATATGGTTTTAAAATAGCTCAGGAATAATTTTAACTACAGTAGCAAACTTCTGCTGGTATAGCCAGGTATCATGTATCATAGACTTTCTGTCACACCTTTTTGTGTACAGAAACACCCTTTTACGTTCATAAAAAACCCCTCACCGTTTTCACTTTTACTCTCCGCAAAAGTAATTATCTGATCACATATACTATTCAAAAACAGGGTCCCAACTGTAGCTTAACATTTGAAGCACCTTGTAGTCTGGCCTTGTATCTTTGCTAACGACATTAGTGGCATCATAAATTTAGGAACCTACCACATCAGATTCTTGATAAACAGTGTATTGGTCTATCTTAAATTCACCCACTTCCTGTACCATCAATGTACACACCCCGGAATAACTAAGTAAATGGTAATGTCTCTGAACAACTAAGTAAATCCAACTGGTACCCACTCCAGAGCTAACGGGTTTGAACTTAGAGGCCAAACCCCGTGGCTCTACGTGTGTTCGCAGAGGCCGAAGCCATGTGGGGCTCAGGAGTGCTGTGATACCCGAGCTCCAGAGGGTGGCAGCTGAAGGTCTGTCTGTCTTAGGTTTCCGTGTTTGTGCTGTTTTGTTTGGTGGCGTTGGTTGGTTTGTTTGTTTGTTTGATCGAGTACTTCCTGCCCCAGGAACATTTAGGGCTAGTTAAATGTGAACCAGTATCTGTTTCTTTGCGTTGTCAGCTAAACTGGTTAAAAACCATCGACTGCTGAGTGCCTGCCGTTCCGTCTGCAAAGGAACCCGTTACCTCACCTTGCTTTTCAGCAGACATCAGCACTACTTGGCATCCTTCACAGAATACTTCAGCAAAATTAAGACTTCCTTGAAATAACAAGGAACAACACTGACTTAGTATCAATTGTTTTAAGTAACAGGAAAAAAATTTAGACTCCACCAAGCCACTTACGCTGCAAAACCAGATAAAACAGGGGCATGACTGGGGTGCAAGTCAGGGTGTGCAGGGTCAGTGTGAGAGATTCGCCACGAATTACACACCGCAGTTGTAAAGCACATACCTCTCTCTCTCGTCTTCACATGACTTAGTCTGTACTGAAACTGGTGTAGATAGTATCTCCTGCTGGCTTTTCTTTAAAAAAAAAAAAGTTAGTCAATTTTGGGGGAATGTAATCCATTAAAGATGAATTCTGTATTCGCAAATACTACACAATTCACAATACTACAGTCTACTATGGAAAAGAATGGAAAATATAGTCTATTGCAGAAAAGGACTTCTCAAATAGAGATGGCTAAAAATTAAAACGCCATTGCTATGCCCCAACTTCTACTTCTGCTCCACAGCATGTAATTGCCCCTAAAACTTTTGCTCATCTTAAAATAATTTGTGATGATGTTACTCTCCCTCCTTTTTCTCTGAAATTATAGGAGTAGCAAAGGCACAGCAGGTGGAATGATTTTTCAGTTTTCCATATGGCACAGTAAGCCTTTAAATAAATCTTATCATCCCATATGACCATAATTGGACACTGATACATGTATTTTAGAGAACAATTCTGTCTGAAAGTTTAGATAGCTTTTATGTTGCTAAATTACAGTTAGAAAGCACAATCCAGAAAAAAAGTGCAGTTGTGGTGTTTGGTGCTATGCTGGTTTGCTGTTTTGTTTGGGGTTTTTATACTTAAGACTGTTTTTCTTTTGTTGATAAACGTGTATCTCTGCAATCTGGCAGTGCCATGTGTTATATTAAGTGTCCTAAGAGTATTTGATTCTCTGCTGTATTTAGAGGGAGGAAACAAAAAGTTGTTTTGCTGTTGCTAGTTTTTAAAGACAAGAGACTAGATGTTATTTTTGCCACTTCATCTGCTTCCGTTCAAATGCCAAGGAGTCAGCCTCGGCTTGTCATAGCTCAAGAGAATATGTTTTCACAGGACATAAAAGTGAAGTTTCAACAGTAGGAAAAGCACATACAAGTTTAGCTTTCCAGAAGACTTAATAATTAGCTTTTTAAGCCTCATTTTTTTTTCAGTGAGTGCATTTGTAATTACATACCTAAAATGCAGAAAACCCTCTCCAAACTGTTTTGGGTATAAACCATACCTCACCCATTCCCTTTTTTTTAATTTGTCCAATTTTCACATGAAAACTTGACTCTCTCTGGTGCACAGCCACACCAATACTGAGAATAAACAGGATTTTTTTAAGACAGTTTCTTTCTTACTAGTTACATATATTCTATTTATGAAGTTTGTTCTTTGTATTTCTTTCAGTTCGAGCAATGTAGTTCCTATTTCACTAGGATGTTATTGCAACAGTATCTGGTCTTCAAATACTAATTTTTTAGTATTTAAGATGTAAAACTATGTACAGATACTTTTCTTAAATAACTAAAGTTTTTAATGCAGTTTTATATATGTATCTGCACAAATGCTCTGTGCATCTGTGTGAACGTCAACCTACCTGATGAAGTTATATCGGAATTGGTTTTGGATGTGTTTCTAGTATATCACAATTTTGGGGGGAAAAAAAAAAGTAAAAGCTTAGATTGGATTTGAAACCAAAATACTTTTAACTTGTCAGGGTCTAAATAATTTCTTTTGAAACTTTACCTTGTGTGCATGTGAATCAAGGCTCCATTATGTAAGTCTGCAGAACCTACTCACCATTACTTCTTCAGCCTGACGCACGAGTTTTTCTGTTTTTGCTTCTAATTCTGCATTCAGTCGCCTGAAAGAGTAAGAATGCTTGTCACTGAGTTTTTGAAAGATTTAAAAGAAATAAATGTAAGCATGACAATATCTCTGCCTGAGCTAAGTGAAATTTTAATAACTCCCTCAAAGGAACACTGAAATATACTTCAGGGTATTAAAAAAGTTACGCTTCAACCGTTGCCTGACAATTTTCTGACAAATCAGTAGTAATAAAACACCTATATATCCATTAAACAGTGAGGTTTAGACTGTAATTCCAAGCAGTAAAGGGTGTTCTTGGGTTTGGTCATGTCATCACTTAATGTGCGATCCTCAGTGCTGTTGTTAACACAGTCCTTACTTTAGGTATACTTAGCAGCAGGGGTTGGGGAAGCAGTCACGTACCATTACATTACTTGATCACAGAATTAAAATGTGTCGCTCTGCCCAAGTACAGGTTCAGGTAGGCCCCACGTCAGAGCGTTCCCTGCAGTGGGTCTGAGGGAGGGAGTGCCTCACTGACACCCGGCTCCCCTCGCGTTCCCGGGGCCGGGAGCCGGCAGGGAACAGTGCTTTTAAATGGGCTTTCACTGCCTTTCTCACAACCTTTAGGTTAAAAACCTTTAGGGTTTTTAAGCTTTCTTTAACAGGCTTAAGCACTTATGTGTTCACGATTCAAAAGTCACGTCGCTGGTTTAGATGAAGAAAC